TATGCGTTATATTTCCACAAATCGCATGATTGTTGCAGTAGACTTTGCAGTAAGCGAGTTTTAATGAGATTCTTTTAGCTATGCGACGACGCATCGTAAGCGCGAAGAGAATGAGAGAAAAAGCGGCTCGTTAAAATTCAGCCGCACGTCATCGACGTCGACGTTCTCTCTCTCTCTCTCTCTCTCTCTCTCTCTCTCTCTTTCTCTTTCGCATACCTCGCGACTTTATTGACGGTTTTACGCTCGCAGTTCGCGCGCGCGAGCCTCTGATTTCCTTTTACCACGAGCTATTCTGCGAGGTGAACAAAGCGGGCTGTGAAGGGATGGCAAAGGAAAAATTGCAGGGAGTAGGCGCAACGATCTGACTCTCGTTTAATTTTTGCTGTCGCTCTCGTAAAAATATGTCTGGCACACGAACGATACGTCGCGCGAGCAATTGTGAACGAAACGACGACATACCGTCAAAGGATCAAAATCGCAAAAACGATCGTGTTGCGAACGAGTTTACGTTGCATCAGACTTTTGCACGCCTGTTAGTCAGAGAAATGAAACTGAAAGCATTTTCCGAGCTGCATACATTTTCTTGTTGTAGGTATTACGCGTAAATGCGTTGCGCCGGTTTTTTTGAGTACAAAAATCCAGAAGACGCTTCAATTATTTAGGTGCTTCGATTTCGAGTTTTATGATGGGCAATTTTTTGCGTGAATCTTCTTCGCGAGTTCGCGCTCGCACAAAAGCTCTCTTTTACTGCGCTTCAAAAAATTTCCTGCTGACAATAGACACCTACGCGCGCGTATCGCATTCGGCCACGCCAACTTCAAATTTTCACGTTAAACGCTATAAATTTAACTTTTCCTTTTTATAATCTGGGTTACTCATCATAGTTCAGGCTCATCAAATTCTCACAAGTATTAGAAAAGTATTCATCAAATAAGTTGACATAAACTCGAATACTGATCACTAGTTTTTTCACTAAATACGTAAGAAATTGTTGATTACTGATTTCTAATGCAGCACGTCAAAGATACAAAGATGAAAGCTTAGAACAGTAATAACATAAATAGTATACTGGAATTGTTGAAAAACAAAATAAAGCGTTTGTTCCATCTAAAAAAGCTGTGGTTAAAACGGAATATGCACATTAGTTCTGAATAGCTTAATGCCCAGCAAGTTGAAAGAAGAAGTGCAAAGAAAAAGCTCGTCGCAGCGAGCGTCTGTCGATATCGCGAAATCTTCTTTTTCTGTGATATAACTGCCGTGCCAAGAGACTTTTTACCTCTCTAACGCTCGTAGCTTTCTCCTTTCTTTTTTATTTTGAATCTTGCGCGGCTTAGGCATTCTTACGAGCTCGCAGGCTCGACCACCTAAATGGCGAAATGCGGATAAAATCCCTTGGGGATACGTCTCTGAGAGTGCTGTACGACTTGCGCCCGCGGCTATATCGACTTGAATTACTGTTGGTCCGCTAGCACCTCAGTGCATTAAATTCGAAGCCCGATAAATTAATTAAACTGCTGTAGAACTATTTCGCCGCCGCAAGCTGGATTTTAACGTTTGGATTTTCAAATACACATTGGAAAGAATTCAATAAAGCAATCCTTAGGACATCATCAACAGAACGCTACCTACACAAGGAGTATTAATTCTTTATTAACTAGATTAATATTACTTATCTTATTGTTACAAATATTCATAACAGCACATTGTTTAAATATTAAAAAGAAGTCATTTACTAAAAAATTTATTTCAATGGAAATTTGAAATTTGAAATACAAATAGACATACGTTAATTGCCATATTCAATCTACCAAGCGGAATATCTTGTTTAATAGATGATCATTGTTTTATCCATGATGTACAAGATTACGAAGAAGGGTATGGAAGCTATTTTTTCTTGAGAAAAATTAATTCACGTGAAGCAACAGTTGTAGGTAAAAAATTTATTTGCGAACTGCAGTACCAATATACAATGGTTCTGATGAAGATTGCGTTATTTATCATAGCAAGACTTATTTAATGATGTGTACAAGTAATTTTCATTTATGGTTTCTCTGTTATTGTATTTTACTAATCAAGTTTCACATAGATTGATCTCGTCACATGTTTTTTAAAAATAATTGACGGAAGTATTTCGTTGTTCAAGTGGTAGTACGTGTGAAGTGTGTTGCTCTTCAAGAGCATTTCGATACCTCAACTAATGCTCATCTTTTCTGAGGATAAAAATGAGTACAATATTCTATAATAAACGTCATTTTATTTTCATTGAGATGTTTTCTATCAGAAAAATTTTTTGTTCTATAAGAGAACATTCCGAATGTATAGCGATGTTCCAAATTTGTTATCTCTTCCAAGGCTTGTAAATCAACTTTTAAATATGATCAAGTAAGATTAAACGGGTATTTTATTCAAATGATTTGACTGCGAAAAGCGCTGATTTATGTGCAAGGAAAAATATTCAATTTAAATTTTCTGTGATTTGTATAAAAATGTAAGTTTAATCGAAAAAGAACTAAATTTAAAAAGCATTCGAATTTTGAACATAATATTAGCAAATGAAATGCTCACTTCAAAGCAGGAGAATGTGAGAACTTAGATAAATGACGAGTAGCATGCTAGTCACGCAAGTCTTTGGGCAATCAACGAGTGTTGGATTATAGTGCGCGCGTATTGAACCCGCCAACGCTTCGACTGCCGCAGCGTGCGCGACATCGAACCCTCTGCCCCTTCTCTCTCTTGCCACTACATATCGATCAGTGCGTACAGTCCGCAGCATCTCCGCTTGCGCTCTTGTTTTTTGTCTGTGAATGTGTATGTTGCACTTATGTAGGATGGCATTAATTTTTATTTCTACATCAAGTGTAGTTTTTGATTAAAAATGTCACATTTTTCAATTAACGATCTTTAATAAACAGCATTGATTATTTGTCTACGAACGTCACATCAACCACATCAGAAACCGTCAGACACACGTTTACAAATATCATTGAGTAAACCTTCGGAATTTACGAAAGTGCCCTTATGACAGCTCGTTTATTTTTTAAATTGAATAAGGAATGCTTTTTCCTAACGATGTAAACTTGCGAATATTTTCACGATTTACCGTAACTTGTTTATAAACTGATCATACGATTTCAATGCTACATAATATACTGTAATACAAAATTACTATTATGACAAAATATGTACGTTAATCTTATAATGCTTATAAACGAAATTTTAAAAGATTGTACAGTTGCAATAAATTGGTCAAGACAATAAATTAGAATGTGGTGTTCCACGAAGTAGTTCAACAACTTTTTGGGTTTTGATTGCCCACGCGCTTTTGTTCGGGGAAACAATGCAGTAGCTTGTTTTAACAAAGCGAAAACATTTGAAAACTTGTTTATTTCAAATTCGTTTGTCGCTTTTTTTGCATTCTTTTAATGTATTTTCTTTTGGCTTTGCAACTTCATCTTCTATACTCCTTTTTCTAGAAAAAAATACTTTACATTTGTAGTTACAATTTACCTATTGATAATATTGGTAAAACAATCTAAAACAAATGTAAGTCATATTAATTTATTGTTTTGCTTCGGTATACCTTGATCGATTTATATCTTCAAATATGCCAATATTTGTACTTGGACTTTGGTGAAGCTGAAAAATTGGTTTTTCTGCTTTTCCCGCGGCGCTGACCCGATTACCTGAAAAGTTATTTCAAGAAAAACTGTGAATAGCTAGATTATGTGATTTTATTTCCAATAAAATCCTGAAATTTGAGAATTGATTCATGAAAGCATAATTTTACAATAAACACAAAAAGTCTCATTCTATTACGTTGCTTGTTTTTATAGTTTATTGTACGATTAAAACGCAATATGTGGCAGGCACGTGTATTTTTATAGAATGTCATATTGTATATAACATTTTAAAATTAATACAGTGTATAAATTTATTGATGAGATTGTACGTGTTGTATTTTAGCGGTTCATCACAACAATATATATTGGCAGAAAAAACAGAATTTTTATTCAGGCATACAGTTCAAATAAATGTATTCAACTCACGACCAACGTATCCATGGAAACGAAAACAAGAGCAGAAATAGAGTGTTATCAAATGAAAAGAGTTACTATTTTAAAAACAATCCTTCATTACATTTCAATTCGATTTACATTTCACATGTATGTTTATTGCGACTATGTAATTAACGTATATATACTATGGTAATAAATAAATAAATTTAATTTTTAAAAGTTGCCATTCAGTCACAAACGAATTCGCTGCCTCATTTAAAAATGGATAGCTGACGGTTACACTCGTAAAATGCTACGTAACATTTCTTTTACTAACTGACGTAAAGAGCAAGGGAGCGAAAAACTTGCTGAGAGGAGTGGGTTTTTATGCAAAACCAAACGATTCAGGAAAAACGCAAATGTTAAAAATATATTTGCGAAAAGCTACAGACAATAAAAACAATGAAGAAAAATCGAAAAACAGCTTTTAATATTCACTTACAAAGAAAATTCACGGACGTCACGTGTAAAAACTGTACAAAAACTACGCGAACGCGTCAGTTTGAAATTCGAGTCATACATGCATCTAAGCGCCATTCAAAGAGAATATGAGCGAGCGCTTAGTTTAACGAGTGTAAGGTCACGCTTTTCAGGGCCAATTTAGTTCTCGGGTCGTTTCTCGTCTTCTGGAAATTGCCCTTAGCTCGCGCGCGAGCGTGCTCGAGATATAGATTGTCGGCTCTCTGCCCGTCCCAAAAATGAACGAAGAAAGACAGCAACGACACGAGGAAAGATAGGCAGAAGTATCGAAAATGATCCGAAAAGTCTTGGGTGGCCAATGTGAATAGATAAGAGTTGGAGGGTTATTTCCTTTGCGGAGCTCTGGGACGAAGACGACAACGAAGAGGAAGGTGCGCAGACTCGGCCCCAGCAGCAGAGATCAGAGCGAGAGAGTCGAATTGGGTCATCCCCCTCGTGCGGCAGTCACGGCGGGCTGTGCGCTGCTGCTGCTGCTGCGTGTGGTGGCTCGGTCGCGCGTTTAGCCCCGTCAGTGTTGCTCGGCGCGGGCCACAGCTCGCATCGGTTCAATCCACCAGCAGCAACTGCCAGTGCTCGCGTACTAGCGCGCAAGCTCTCGCTGCGGTCATTGTCGCGTTCGTGTCACGTCGCGCCTCAGAGCCTAGTGCTTATGCCTGTGTAGTCGCATGCTCGTGCGTCGCGCTTGAGCTTGAGGTTTGTTGGTTTCCTCGTTCCGTTGCGAGTTGCACCTGCTATGTGCTGCAGCCTTTGCGACGTGCACCTGTGGAATGCTTGGCGTTTGAGCTGAGCAGCCACTTGGACTACTCGAGCTTTCAGTTCTGTTTGTTGCGTTTTTGTTTGTCGTTCAGTCAGTGATTGATTGCAAGTGCTTCGGGGATATCAAGAAGTTAGCGGTGGAAGAAACGAGAAACAAACGCATTGCAGCTCGCGACAGTTGGTAGAGCGCACATTCAACATGCCATCGCAATCGAAGAGCGCGCTCACAAGAGCGACTAACCGAGTTGGCAGCATCGAATCGCAGCGAGGCGAGTTCATCTCGAGGTGATTACTTTTCTCCCCTTCCCTTTTCTCTCGCCAGTGCTTGCGTCATCGCTCTCTCTCTCTCTCTCTCTCTCTCCTTCTGTCGTTCGTTTGCGTTGCTCACTTAGCGGTTATTGTTTCAACATTCAACGGACGCGTGAACTAGCATAGATGCATTTTCCACCATTGATGACGAGATATGTACCTGCTTTTTTATCTTCTTTTTTGAAGCCCTTTATCAAGCTATGATTGTTAACGTTCTGGAAAATCCATGTAATATCAAAGCCGCTGCTGTTAACTGTCGGGGCTTCATACTTTATGGTTTTTTGAATCTCAAAGAGTATTAGGAAAACCTAGCTCAGCGCTACAAAAGTGTTTTGAGTTCATTGGTGAACGAGTGCGAGAGAGAAGAGAACGAAGGCAACCATTGATATGCAACCGTTTGCGAGAGAACCTACACCAACAGTACTCGATGGACTCTTCTGTTGAGAAATATACGTTTTTTATATAAAAAAATTCAGAGTTCATATTGTGATTTTCAATTTATCGCTACCGTCGGTCTGTATTTGATTTGGAAAATGTGCTTTTTGCGTTTTGCTACATATCGAGTTTTATCGATCTGTCTATTTTCTGCTGAATAATTAGCGTGTTATCTATGTTCATAAAAATAGTCGAGATAAAATCTAAAGTAGTTAGTAAATATGATTAATTGATATTTGTTCTCTGTCACTAAAAATTATACGTTATCACTTTTGTAGAAAAGCAATATTTTATTTAATTTAAAAATCCGTTAGCAGAAAGGTAGAAAGTAAATTGCCAATTTCGCAATTAATTATTGCTCATCATCATATTTATGTTAAAAAGATTATTATACCACCGTGGTCATTAATCTTCAGTCTGATTAGCATGCATTGCTTCGACGAATAATTTTCGGTGCTGCACTTCCATCAAATAACATATTGCTAAGTCGATTTCGAGTTGTAAATTTCATTGTTGAAAATTGATAATCGATTTTTTTTTAATTAATAATTATCTACAAGTTTGATCGTTATGAAATATTGATATTTTGCATTTTATATGTTATTGTACATTTCATATTCTTTGATCAAACTTATATTGTTAATATTTTTAAGCAAAGTATTAGAATAGAAAATGCACTACCACAGAGTGAAATTAATTGAGAAAAATTTGATTTACTCGCGACAAAACTTTATTACTCGCTATTCTTGCTTACGCATTGGCTCTCACGTGCACGTGAGCTTTTACTCGTATATATATGCGAGCAGTGCACATGTGCATATGACAACTAAAAATGAAAATTAAATTCAGCGAGTCTTCAATGAAGGGCGGAAAGATAAATAACCAGCCAATAGTGTAAACAAAACGAACATTTGGTGAGAATGTAATATCTATAAAACTATTACAAAAGTACCGTGATTAGTATTCGTCTGAATACGTTAATTTTTGAAAAAAGTTTTGTCAATAATTCTGATTAATAAAGTAAGAAGAAAAATAATTTATAGCTATTATAGACATTCATAATAACTAATAAATGAAGGGAAAAAATACTCTTTTTGATGGATGTCAAACAGATAAAATGAACGTTAAAAATACGAGATACATAAATAATGATATTAAAATGGAAAATAATGGTCGTATATAATATTACATGGAAAAAAATATTCATGTCATATCTATCAATGAAACATTCATAAATTTACATGAATATAGAGCCCAGCATTACTCGAGCAAAAAAGAAAACAGGAAACATGGAGTAGTAAAGTTAAAGCCTAAGAAAAATTAATTTTCCAGCCGGCGAGTTTTGGCCTTGGTCGTTCATCTATACTTTGTAGACGAGTTTGAGCTGCGCGTATAGTCTGATGTCTTTGATAGAAAGCAAGGAAAGGCCACGGCGGCAATTTTTTATGTGGCCTTTCAGGGAAAAAAGAGAGAAGACGGGACGGCAAACCTTGTCCGTTAGCCCGTACCCTCCTTTTTTCTCGCACAATCGTCAAAGTTTGCCAAGACGCAACGCAAACGCATTTTTTCGCCCACTTGTCTCGGTCATTTTTCTTCTTCCTTCGGTGGCGGCGTGCGCGCGCGTCATTGGTTCTTCCGCTTCTCTTATTTTTTTCCTTTTCGTTCGGCGCGAGGGCGAAAGTATACGAAAGGATATACGGAGATTCGGCTGCTAGCAATCACCGGGCGTAAAGACTCGTTTAAGCGGGATAATATGAGCGAGTGGATAGGTTTTCTCCATTCTCTACAGAAAGAAAAGAATTCGATCGAGCTACTACCCGTCGACGTGGGCTACGATTAACTCGTGAGTAAGCGATATCTCTTTGTACGCGCGTGTGTGTGTAGGCTTGGCGCGTCCGCGAAGCCGTTTATAAATCAACAATTTTTCGGCAACTCGATGCCGCGCTCGTAAATCAAGCCAAATCGATATAAGAGCGCGGGGCAACTTGGCTGAAAAATTACTAATACGTTTACTCGATGCTTTTCCATCGTGCGCCAAGTGAAAACTTATGGTTAATCGATTGACTGCAACGGCCAAAAGAAGTTGATCAACTGGACAAACCACAATGTCACGTAAGTGATAGCAGCGTGTTACAAAAATATGAAAAATTATTTCAATCGCCAATCGCGTAATTAATCATAATATAATCGCATTTTCATTGGATTTCACTGCTCGTAAGTGCGATCGGAATTAATGTAATCGATTACACGAAATCCTTCAATTTATATTCACTCTGATGCTGAATAGAAAGTAAAGGGACAATGAACTACATTCTGGCCTCCGCTATCCTGTCCTCCAGCTCTGGAGATTCACGTAAGCGAATTACAGTATACCATTCGATCCCATTCGCAAACAAACGACTTTTCAAAGGGATTGATTCGCTTCCTTTAATTGTTTTTAATGCCTCCTCTGCAGCCACTCTCTATCGCTTTTCCACTGAAAATCATGACTTCGAAAGAAAACCCTTTTGCTGCCGGCGGATCTTCATTTTCGGCATTTATTTGGCTTACACGGTTTCACATTGCAAACTTGTTTCACTACCAGTAAGCAGAACAATAAAACGTAGACCGGAAGAGCTTACTCTATAAAAACCAGTCGCATAGTAATTCAATTGCTTATCAGGCAAAAACAGGTTTGCTGGCCTTGACGCGTGTGTATTAGGCAAAATTTTTTGACTTTCTGTTTTGAATCTTTTCCCGCGGTGACACGGAAAGGAGCGATGGCACGGTAAGATAGGGCACAAGCTGTGGGCTGTGGGCTGCTCAGAAGCCTGTTGGAGCTTCTCGAGCCAAGTTCATCCGATTGATTCGCGGGTAAACTACAACAACGCGCTCGTGGCTACAAAGCTGCAACGAACCTAATAACTTTTACGAAACGTTGAAGCCTCAGTCTCATCTTGTAATTTATTGAATGCATAAGTTTACAATGTAGATTCTGCTCTAGCAACGAGGATACAATCGGTGCTTCTGATTCGCGTATGCGGGTAGTAGCTGAATGAAAAACCCAATTTTCCAAAAAAGTGGAGCGTGATAAGATTGTGATCGTTAATATCTTTGCCGATGCCCTTGAGCCTATGTTATTTTTTCTTTGTCGAAGCTTGTGCCCGTTTCACCTTTTTTTGGATTTATCGTAATCTTTTTCATTATTTTTATAAGGATTAGGACTTCTTACTGAGAGTTTATCGAATATTTTTCGATTAAGCTCATTTTATGCAGAAGAAAAGAAATTAATAGAAATTAAGTAGAAGAAAAGAGATTTTTCAATTATATTTCTTGTTTAAAGTAGTCAAAGTCATAAAAATCCTCAGTCAAGTCGCTAAAGAAGCGAAACTACCTGTACAAGTCTAACTTTTCTTATATTTAAACTGGCGCTGACCGAAAAAACAATTTAGCAAAGTGCTTGCGTGATTTTGTGCGCAAGGCGCGTTAATATGCGCCACGCGGTGTTTGCTTGGCAGCCATCCGCCAAAAAGTACACAGGATTTGAGAGTTAAAGTGTGTGCGAGTGCACCACCCTGCCATCCTACAGTCGCACACATGTACAACGAGTGTGAGTTGGCTCCATCCCTCGCGAGCTTCTTTCCACTTTCTTGATGACCCCAATTTACGACGCGGCTTACGCTCGAGACTTTTACCTTGCCCCTCCCCGGTAGTGGGCGCAGGAACTCGAAAATAAGTGGGGGCAGACAGAAAGAGAGAGAGAAGAAAATCCAAGAAACAGCCAGCGCGTCAAGGCGGGCTCGTTCCGCCTTTTCCTTCTTGCTTATTTGTCGTCTCTCTCTCTCTCTCTCTCTCTCTCTCTCTCTCTCTCTCTCTCTCTCTCTCTCTCTGTTTTTCTGGCTGCACACTGCAGGCATATCGTGCGCGCGAATCAGCAGAACCATTTTTCTTTAGCCAAGGTGGACGTCTCGAACACGCAGATGGATTTAAGATAGCTTTTGATTTCTTGGCTAGACTTTTTCTCTCTGTGTTTTACTGCTTCAGACGCTATTTTCAACTGATTCCGTTTTCTTTTCTGCTCCACTTGCAATCTCATCGTTTTTCTCGTGGCTTGCATTATTTTTTCATGCAGATCGCGGACTTGACGTTTCAACTGCGGCAATTCCGAGAATTTCGAAGACGTCGCATTGTCGAGAAGAGAGAGAGATCAGCTCGCACGAGCACACTAGAATTACGCGTGTGACACTGCGAGTGCTCAGGAATTACGCTTTATTATAGTGCTGCGTCGCGGCGGCCAGAAATTCGTGCAATCTTTGCCGAGACAGTTGCTTCGGGAACTTTATGCAAATGCTTTCATTGTACAATGTAAAATACTTGGAACGTCATTGAATTTCATATCTGCTGATAATCATAATGTAAAGGTGTATTCGATGTTTTGTTGCAGGCGCAATTGAAGAGACTGATTGATAAGCACAGTGTTAATAAGGATCTTAGATAAATGTTGAGGATCACGTTCAGATTGACGATAGCTTGTCGAAGAATGCTTAGCTGCATTCTCGTCGTGATTCACATTTGAGAGAAACGACGTGCTTATCCTTACTTCTAGTGGAAGTGAAGAAACACCTCGAATGGACAGGATACCATTCATCGGCATGAAAGGTGAAGTCAATTAAATAAATTTGATTAATTATACACGTCAGTGCACAATGAATTTTTTAAAGGATACTAATATTCACGAGCAAAAATAATATAAATGCGTATTCGTATAAATACATGTACATCAGAGTCAATTAAATAAAGTACAAAGGTCGCTCAAATAAATAAATTATATAAGGCCAATTGGACATATTCATTTCCACAGATAATTTATTACTTTTAAAGTAATTGCAACAACCTCTGCATTGTCCTTTGGATCAATTTTCATAAAATCTTCTGACCGAAAGCTCTCAACAATGCAAAGTGAAAGCTTGCGAACTTGCGCGTGCAATCGTCATAGCTCGGGGCTGTTCGTGGAATCTCGGGATGCCGCATCGCATGCGGCACTCGCAGTTTCCTCGCCGCGCAAAAATTCCAGCGTCCCCCTCCTCTCTCTCTCTCTCTCTCTCTCTCTCTCTCTCTCTCTCTCTCTCTCTCTCTCTCTCTCTCTCTCTCTCTCCCACGCTCTTTCATTTTGTAGGAAGCTTGTAGCGCGCTTGCGCAAGCTGAAATTCCGAAATCCCCAGCGGGGCTAACCCTCAATATATACATATACACAGACCGCGCGTGGCAGGCTGCTTTGCATAACCTAATTAACCGAGGACGCGCATGTGTCTGTCGCTGCGTTGCGCTGTGGTCTTCTCCGGCCAAAAGAGCTAGAAGGGGCTATGATGAAAATTAAAACTGGCCACGGATCTTCAGACGCTTCTTTGTTTTGCGTCGCCTGTAGGAGACACATGAGAGTGTGTATACGCATGCACATATGTACACACCCAGGCTTCGCCCTCGAGTAAAGACTGAGAAATGTGAGCCGCCGTCGTCGCCACACCGCATGAATATCACATTTGGCGCTTGGACGAAAATGGCGCCGTAACATCTTTTCCTTTCCTTTGCCCGCCTCTTTCTTGTCAAGCTGTAGTCTTTCTCGTTTACCTCTCTCTGTGACGTTTGTGCTCTCGCGCTCCGAGACTGTCTTTTGAGACATCATTTTTTTTTTGTTAAACGGATGCAAAATTATCCAAGATACGTGAATTTCGTTCGTGAATGAAAAATGAAATGGTAATAATTCTTTGAACAAAAAAAATGGAAATTCGCTATAGCGAGTTACAATTTTTTTCTATTATGTTCAGCAAAATTTATACGACATTCATAGCAGAAAGTCACGTAAAGTTGGTTTCCCAAAAGAGGCGTCGTGATTCGTTAGCTTCTCTGTGACAAAGGTATTGTATTTGCTCTTTGTCCCTCGTATACTGAAAGCTTTTGCACGCCAACAATTGGATCTCTGTTGCATTCAATCAGGAAATTGTAACTCTCCCTCGCATGTTATATATATATATATATATATATATATATATATAGATTGGCCTGTTTGTTTAAATTAAATAAGATAATTGAATACGTCAAAGTTGATTGCATATCTTTACGTGTGTTTTGATGATGTTTATAAAACTGAATGAATTTCCAACTGTGCTTGGAAAAGTCAAATAAATAATTAAAATGTTGCAGATGAATAAATTCTATATGTTCTCAAGCACAATTGAATTTATTCACAGATCGTGTTTGCTTCATTAACTTTTAATTACGCTCGAACATCGACATATCCGTACAAGTTGTTATGTAGATAGGATGCGTAATTTTTATTATTATTATATTATAGATTGTCATTACTATTATAAGAAGGATTATTATTATTTTATTATACAATTGTTGATTTCGCTTAAAAAGAGATATGCGAAAGCGATGCGACAAGATTACAAGACGTCGATCTTTAGCTTGTAAATCTATAGATTTTATTTTGTTGTGCTACTTGACGCCGGATGCATATTGGCTATATGCGAGGTTATCTACACGTGATATGAAAATGCTGCTGAAATAAAATTACAATTTATTTTTATTTATTTAATAATTTACGAGCTATGAAGTAGCCTTTGATTCACCCGTTGGCAGTTTCGCCTCATTTTAAATGCAAAATTACCGTTGGCGAAAACAATTAGTTTTAGCCATAAGTCTTGCATCCGCCCTTCACGTGCTGAAATAAACGTTGAGGCCGTGCCCAGCTGCGCTGTGACGGGAAAATACTAGCTTTTCTAAGGGGAGAATTCGAAGACATCAAATCCATAATTGTACATTCCGTGCCGTGACGGGAGGGTCTCATCCCTCGGAAGCTGTAGTACAATTGTCAGTTTGACCTTCAAGTTTTCTAACAGGAAGATTCGGGCATTTTCAAAAGCTGAAGGAAAATACTCAGAAATTCGGTGACTTTCAGATTCAGAATTTGAGAGTCGCAGGATAGCAAGACTTATCGCGCGAAGTTTCACTTTACAAAGAGGTGGGAATTGCTGAGGAAAAGCTCAGGGAAAACTAGCTCCGAGGTGAGCGGTCATTGAGTCTTTTGAGATGCTAGAAACAGGTTAGTATTCGTTATTTTGCTAATTTTCTCAAAATACAGTATTAACTGACCTTTTCGTTATCCTTATATAAAAATAATATTATAGTTTCATTCATTCTTTCTGTAACTTTGATTTTATTATTTCAGTCTAATTTTTATTAATATTAAAAGAAATATTGTGTATAGTTAACTTAAAATGTTGTAATTTAATTATCTCAGCTTTAACTTAATTCACAAGTAGTTTATATTCAAGTTTGATCAGACATGGGTTGAATTTGTAATTCTAGATATTTTATTTTTGCACGCCATCGAATGAGTTATCTAATTAAAAAAATTCGTTCTTAATAGTACACACATCAAGAGAAAAGTAAAAGATGTTCAATTCGCTACGTACATGAAATAAAAATTGTTTTGTAGTGTATATGAAAAAGACAGTTATTGGAATTTAAAGATAAATAAAGGATTATAGATGCTTTAGTTCTATTGACTAAAGTTAAGCAATAGACATCAAAGATTCTCTTCGAAAGCAAGATTACGCAGAAAAGTCACAGGACAATGTAGACGTAACTTACGCAAAGCTGGGCAGACGGGCATTATTAGGTTGAATTTATAGAAAAGGAAGGGACGCAAGAAAGGAGATAGAGAGGAAGAGTAGGTAAAAGCGAGTAAAAGCAATAATTCCTTTGGTCGAGGCAGGCGAGGGGAAAATTTAATTGCGCTCGAGATGAGCACAGAGCGAACAATCGACCGGAAGTAGACTTGGCAGGGCCATTAAAGGAGTTCGTAGGGAGAGCTTCGCTCCTAATTGCAAATTAGGCGGTTTAACGGTGGCATACACTCAAGTTCATTAAGCTGTCGTTTTAATATTTTTTCTAGCATTCTATTCTTATTCGATCATCGTTTGACACGAATGAGTTTCGTTTGGGCTCGAGCGTATTGGAAGTGTCGTTGTGAGGGCTCTTGATTGGCCGCTTAAATGTCGGTTTAATTGAATTTGCACTGGACTGCTGCCTCGAGAAGCACGACCGTGCCCCCACCCCCGCCCTCCCCTCCTCCGGCAAATTTCCGCGGCGCGTTTGGCCAGTAGTATAGCTCATGCTGTGGGCGTGTAAAGCTTTAGTCGCGCATATACGCAGTATGCTTTCTCATTCACGCAATTTCATATTTTAACGAGTTAAACGTGTTTCTCTAAATTCTTTGAAGATGGCTTACCGTAATTGCCATTGCACTCTGCATTTCGTAGAATCGTGAAGCAGACACTGTTCTTTTGGCGAAACAAGGACGATGCCGTTTTATACTCATGGAATATTCCGTATAATTAGATAGCGCGCAGCAGCAGCAGCAACTCGATGGCGCAATAATTTTCCAGCGTACTGCTGTCTTTGACGCTTAGCGTTTTGAGTCTCCTTTATAGTACTATTCCAAATTAATTATCCCTAGCGCGAGTAATCGCTTTCATAATGAAGCTGAAAGTCATACCGATGGTAGACAGACAGCAGCGGCTTTCCCGAATGATTGAAGCCCGTTATTGCAGGCAGAAGTATACAAGAAATTTACGGGGAAAATTGACTCGAGATCCGCTCTTTCGCCTCCAAGTTTCTTTAATAAAGAAAGCGGCCAAAGTTCCTATTAACAAATTTGAATGGAGCTGCGCGAGGAAGCGAAAGAAGAATAGAAAAAAGTAAGACAAGTAAGTCGCAATACACCGCGCAATAATTAAAAGCTTCCTTGCCTCACCTGTCGCTAACTAATTGAAGTAGTCCCGCGTCTTCTTAGGTCAATGTATATATAGCTGCTAGGAGCTTCCGGTCCCTTGGGGTTGATGCGCTCTCTCACTGCCTTTGAACTTCACGATAAGTTAACCCCAGCAGAGAGAGGAAGCTTAAAAGTTACTTATAACGTGCGCATTGACTTTGGTATACGCATATACCGCTCGTATCGGCTTAATTATTGCAAAATTACGTCGTAGATAAGGCTATTGTGTGGAATAGTATACATCTATACGAGCGCTAATCTAGTTTATATGCGTGTCGGCCAAGATCCTCGCTATCATAATGTGCTTGGATTATAGTAGAGTTTGTTGGCGGTCCATATCCTTCTTTACATTTTCCAGATTTCACTTTGGCGTTGCTCCAAGCCGAAAGATTAAAAACTTGAATATTGAAACATGTGCTCGTGTACGAGGTTCGTGCCAACGATCTCTCTCTCTCTCTCTTTGTCTCGTCTGACCGTACTCGGACTTTCTCACTGCATCACATAGTATTACGCAATTTGAAGTATAAATGAATAATAGAAGGAAGATCGCTTTGTTTTGGTATTGATAGATTGTGTGCCGCACGTGAACGCTTACTGCACTGGCTGTAAACTTTCTTATTAATTGTAGCTTCATATTTTTCTTTGCAAGATTTAGTTTCTTTTGGCAGTCGATTGTACCGGGATAATCTAAAGGAAAATCAGCTGCTCAGCAAAGAAAGGAAAAAGTACCTCCTAGCCTAATATTTTCATGCGCCTATGCACCTTCAATTCCAAGGCTGAAATGCCGTATGCCATCTTCGTATACGCTAAAATATGGAGG